AGATAAAGATAGATGAATTAAATAAAATTTACAACTTGCATTATATAATATATCATCGTATGTGTGCGAATGTATACATATTTTGGTAATTTTCTTTTCTTTTCTTTTCTTTTCTTTTTTTTTTATCAACGTATCATTAAATTGTTCTTTTGAAAGTAAACATTTCCCAACTATTATATGTCGTACAATTTCGTCGTATTGTTTTTCTCTTTTTTAAAAAATATCATTAACCCCCTCCCTTCGAGTACTGAATTATTTGCAAATTTTTTTTTTTATGTATACATAAACGAATTTAATTTGTTATTGTTAATAATATTATATGAATTAATATGTAAAAGTAATACACATTTTATTTGAAATATATTTATATATTTTTTTGCAATAACATTTTAACACGTTGACGCCGGGCGCCGATTTTCAGTGTCTACGCTGTGTGGGGCGGCACTCGAATCTAAGATACGCTTCATCTGGCGGCGCGTGATTTTTGCTTGTTCAAACTTGGACCAAGGTGGACCATCGGTGGTACGCGCCGCCCGATGGAACAGTCTTAACGCGAGCCACCGGTGGTACACGCCGCCCGATGGGACAGTCTAGTGCGGGCCACCGGTGGTACACGCCGGCGTGAACGTGTTAATTACTAAATATTAATAAATATTATAAATAAAACAAAATACCCAAGTAAACAGATGACGTGGTCTCACTCATCGTCAAATGTACTCAAAGGGTTAAGAGTTAAAAAGAAAATGAATTTTTATTAGAATTTTCATTTCAATGGGTCTCCTTATCAATTAAAATAAATAAAAAGAAAAGTAAGGAAAATATAACTTTGATATATATATAAGGCCATATATATATATGTGTGTGTGTACGTACACGTGACGTATAAATTTTATCAACAAATATTCTTAACACGTGCACGAAAATTTTCATTGAATTATATTTTGTTTTGTTTTGTTTTGTTTGTTCGTTCTCTAAAGTTAACTATAAAACCCAAAAGCAAAATTCTAAATTGGCAGTATAGTGTTGGACATTGCGCCCAGCGCAAAGTGCATAGCGAAATTGCTGCAGCATGTTAAGGAGATTTTTTTGTTATTTTTGTTTGTTTTGTTTTGTTTGTTTGTTTGTTTTTAGTTTAGTTTACTTCCTTACCATGACTATCATGATGAGAGAAAAAGATCATTTATCTTGTTTTTTTTTTTCTTTTTGTTTTGTTTTGTTTTCATTCTTTTCATGAGATGATATTTAGAAGAGAGGTTACACGTACGTAGCCATAGTTCCAGTTGGAATGGACGGTGTTTCCTCTGGTCTACCTTTAGGACCATATTGTCCAATGAATGATCCATCTTCTGTGAATGGTCCTATAAATTATAAACATAAACATAATATTGTACACAAAAAAATAATACACATTTATTGTAATTGTAATGTTTGAAATAATAATAAACATGAATGAATATAAATGTGTTAATTAACGTGAAAATTAATAACAATTGCTAAAAGAAGAAGCATAATAATAATAATGCAAAAATATTTTTAGTGACTTTACCTTACCTTACACTAACGTTGCAAATGCTTGTGAATTAGGTTCTGGTTTACGATGTCGACCATATTGACCAATGAAAGATCCATCTTCGTTCATACCCTCTGCGTTAAATTAAGCAACAAAGCAAATAAAATGGAATGTAATGAAAATAAATAAAAAAAAATAAAACAATATAATATGAGAGAGCTATATATACGAAAATAAATACAACTATGTTTTTTTTTTTTTTTAATAAAAATTGAAAGTAATTTGCTTAAATTGTGCCACACAAGCTGGACAAATATAACGAAGCTTATAATATTTGTTTGGCTGTATAAATAATTCTTATAGCAAAAGTAAAACAAAAAGAAATGAACATATTGTTGGTATGTAGCATGCTTTGTTTGTGTTTGTTTTGTTTTTTTGTTTTATATTCTACAACGAAATTATATGTTGATATATAAATAATCTTAAAAAGAAATATCATGTGTGCAGATCACACGTGTTAGAAGTGAAATCTTCAAAAAAATAAACAAAATTTCGATAGAATGAAACGAATACAAAATATCTAGTGTAAGATAATTGTATTCTCTTCTTATTTAGTATCTTGGCCGTTTCATCGGCTCTCACCGCTCCGTTACATAGCCGCCTAACCGTTTCGTTACATTGTTTCAAATCACATCCATTCTAAAGAAGTTTTCACTTGAAAAACTATTGAATTGAATAATTTGTAGTTATTAAAAACAAACCTTCTCCGTATTCTGCCATAGAATCGGTGTCAGATTCTGGATGTTTTCCATCTTGATGAGAAGATGAAGCTAACGACGCACGACCACCGGCAGATTTGGTATCCAATGGTTGAGAATATTCATGGAAACCACCTTCATCAGGATAATCTCCACGACCAGCGGCTAATTCACGTTCGTGTACTGCATACTTTCCACCTCTGTTTCGTTTAATTACGCAAACGATAATTAAAACTAGTAGAAGGAATGCTATTGCTAGCATCATACCTGGACACAAATCATCGAATATATTTAATATAAGGAATGTATATGTTTATTTATTTATTTATTATTTTGTTGTTTGTTTAAAGTATTACCTATAAACCATCCAGCTGTTGCTACATTTTCTTTGGGTTGAATAATTGGACCTTCGCTACTGGTTTCTACTTCTTGAGGCACACTTTCAGTTACATAATCTCCATCAACAGCAACTACAGACATAACATAGACTTCACCGCTTTGAAGTCCACGAACCTATATACATAAAAAAAAAAAAAAAAAAAATATGATTAAATGTTATGCTTATTAAATCATTTGTATATATAATTAAATTACTTACTTCAATCGTGTTCGATTGAAATTCTGGATCCGTTTCAGTAGCAATTGTTTCACCTTTCAGATTATATTTAACAAAGAAGTGACTACCAGGATTGCCATTTAAATTTGGTTGCCACATAATTCTTACATTGGAATAACCATTTTCTTTGGGAATTGTTTCCCATGTAAATTGAGGTACGTCTGGTCTTTGAGAAGTACGTGTCCTTTTTTCTATGAAATAACTATGAAGGAAAATAAAATTATTATTATTATTATTATTATTATTATTATCTATTGAAAAGATTCATGTATTTGAGTTCAACAAAAACTTACTCGTTTCCTTCGCCAACTTTGGTCGTAGCTCGAATGTGAACTCTGTATTTGGTATCAGGTGCCAATGCTGCTAATTTAGCACTAGTAGCTTCTGGATCTGTTATATGTGGTTTCCTTTCTAATAATGACTCTAATCTCGTTCCATTTACAACCCTGTAATAAATTCTGTAGCCAGTTAATATACCATTTGGTTCGGCAGGTTTTGACCAGACGAGAAAGAGTGCACTAGAACCCATTGGGAAAGCTTCAAAACTAAGTACTGTTCCTGGAACACCTTCTGGTGTATCAAAACTTAAAGTTTCAGATGGAGGTCCTACATATCTGTATATAAAAGAAACATAGATTAAAAATGATTTATTTATTTTGCTAATTCTTTAATTAAAAGATTATATGTTTGAATATTGAAATTACCTTCCATTATAAGCAAGAACTCTGACAAAGTTTTTACTATAGGGAATAAATTTGTCAACTAAAACGCGTGTCATGTGACCACCTCTAATATCAATATCACGCATTCCTTTTTCACCTTCTTTTTCCGTCCAAGTTTGAATTTTATATCCTTTCAATTCTCCTCTCACTGATTCTTCAGGGACCATGTTCCATGAGAGTATAGCAGATGTACTGGATTTGATTGTAACCAAAGTAAAGTTTCCAGGAGCTTGTGATGGTACATCCTCACCAGAATATCCATACACTTCTGTAGCTTCAGCTTTACTTTCTCCTTTCTCATTAATAGCAATAACTTTAATTTTATATCGTTGATAAGTTGGTTGATTATCTATCGTAAGAGAATGCTGTTTCCAATCATTAACATCTACTATATTCCATAGTTCTTCAGGTCTATCCCTTTTATAATAAACTCTGTACATAAATTTGGGTGCATTGTGTTCTATTTGTGGTAATGTTGTCCAAGATATGACAAGATTTTCAGGGGTTGTTCCATTACCCATAACATTATCTGGATTACGATAAGGAACATCCATCAAGGTTGTACAAACGTCGCTGTGCGATGATGGTAAAGATTTTCCTATTTTGTTCCATGCAAGTACACGGAATGTGTAATTGGCCCAAGGCGACATTGGTACACTGTAACTTTGTTCTGTAGCTGGTACAAAATCTGCCGAAGTTTCCCAAGTATCCGGAGTAAAGCTTGTATTATATTGAATAGTATATCGTAAAATTGGAGCTCTGTTATCACCCATAGGAGTCCATTGTATAATCGCGCTATCAGACATACATTTAACACCAATTAATTTAGGAGCATTAGGTACATCTTGAACAGTCAACGTTGCTTGTGCTCTTGTTTCATCTAATTCGGTACGAGCAACGCAAGTATAAGTACCAGAGTCTAATTCTGTTGTCTTTGTGATCATTAATGAATAATCTGTACTACGTACAAATCTTGGTTCCATTTCAAAATCAATTGGTTCGCCATTACTCAACCATTCTATCGTTAAAGTTAAACTAGAATCAGTTACTGCATTGCATCTGTAAAATAAATAAATAGAACATAATAATATGATATACAAATGAACGCATGTAAAACACACATAAATACAATTGAATATTAATAAATATATACCTAAATGTTGCAGTAGAACCAGCTGCAACTTCATAATCTTCAGGCTCATCCGTAATCTTCGTACGTTCTTTCACAACAAGATTTGCAGATGCATTTACTGCTCCTAACTTGTTAGAAGCATGACAAGTATAACTACCTGCATCTATGAATATTACATTTTCTATTTCTAAATCACCATTATCCATAATTTTATATCTTCCACCTGTTAATTCTTGACCATTCTTAGCCCATTTAATTATTGGCTTTGGTGCTCCAAATACGTGACATGTCATTTTAACTGTTTTACCTTCGACCGTTGCTTTGTCAGATGGAAGTTCAGTGATTTCAGGTTCAAGAGCTAAGACATTAACGTATACATCTTTGTAAACATATCCTAAAGAATTAGTGGCATTACAACCATAATTTCCGGTATCTTTCTTTTTCAATTTTTCTATAATAATCGAATTAGTAGTAACTTTTCTTCTTTCGTTAGGTGGTGCCTCTGATATTGGTTTTCCATTATGAATCCATTTGATGTCTGGCTCGGGCACACCACTTGCCTCGCATCTAAATTCAACAGTTTCATCCTCTGCTGCATTTATGATCTCTGGTTCTACCGTGAAATATGGAACTGCCATTACTTGTAGATTTATAGAATACGAATTAGCATCACCAACACCGTTAGACGCTTCACAACTATACGTTCCTTCATCCTCAAAATTGACATGCTTTATTATTAACGATTTACCATAATTCCCTTGTATTATTCTATCATTAGACTGTATCAATCTACCATTTTTACTCCAAACGGTTTGTGGCAATGGCGTACCACCGTATATACAATATAATTCAATTTTTTTACCGCGTAGAGCAACTTCATTTTTTCTACTAACGTATTGTTTAACAGGCTCGTGTTTATTTTGATTAGATGATGCTCCAGATGAGATAACATTTAATAAAACTTTGCTGCCTAATTTATATTCATTTCGGAATACAGAGGTTGCCGCGCAAACGTAATAAAAATCATCAGACGCGTCGTTTCTCGTAACATTGCTGAACCAAAGATTTCCTTCAGGATCTAACGTCATACGAGAATTGTTAATCGATTTAATTGCACCAGCTGTATCTTGAATAAGCCAATAAACGTTTGGTTTTGGCCATCCATCTGGTGGTTGGCAAGTTAATTTAAATGGTTCTCCTTCGTAAGCGTGTAAACTTATTGGATTTTGATCCTTAAATGCATTGAGTTCTGCTTTACGAACAAAAACAGAATTGGATGTTGCTATTCCCCATTCATTTTCTGCAAAACACTGGTATTGTCCTAAATCTTCATCTCTAGGTCTTGCTATGACCAAAGTTCCTCTTCCTGGTTGTTGAGAAATACGATCGTCATATGCTGGCCATTCGAAATTCTTTCCATTTTTAATCCATCGATACCTAAATTATTATTATTATTATTAATATTAATGAAATAATTGAAAAAGCAAATTTGGTTACTTTTTAAAATCAAACGTAAATTGATTAAACTAAATATGAGTCAGCTTTTAGTAGAAGTCAAGTATCTATCAGTAGTGGTAACTTTATACCCCCCTCTTTAGGATATGAGGTCATACTAGTAATTAAGACCAGTTACTCTGGCTTCTTACCAGAACACAGGAACTCTACTTTTATTGTTAAAATAAGATCTCATTTTATGAATGAATGAAATTCTCATATATTTAAATGATGTATTCTTTTTATAATTGAAACTTAGTGTATATTAGAAAAATAAATTTAAAAAAAAAAAGATATATCAGACTCACTTTGGTGCAGGTTCACCTTCTGCTTCACATTCGATCAAGAAGGGTTTATCATTGTTATTAACTTTAGCTTGAGCTACTTGAAAAAGTTGTTCATCTGTAGGAGGCTGCTTGGATATCCGTGGTGGTGACTGAACTGTTAATTTATTAATATTCAATTTATATTAATCAAAATCATAATTGTTAATAATATTTTACACATTATAAACATATATATATATACGTATATTCTAAACAAAAAAATATATATATAACAATGTACATCGAATATAAAAAAATAATTAAAAAAATATTGTAAAAAGGGGGTTTGTTTGTGTGCTGTTTTGAGGATTCTTACATTTGTGTAAATTTTATGCTATGCATCAAAATTGTATTGTATAATAATATAATTAAATTAATAAATAAATAAATACAATCAAATTTATATTCATAAAATGTACTTTGTTATGTACAATAATTTATGATATAGATCAAGTCTATGGGGGGAGTAAACATTTATATTTATGTAAATATGAACGGATAAATGGTGAAATATTAATTTGATGATTTTGATTCGAATGAATTTAATGTTATGTTTCACATATTACACATAGCATGTAAAAAAGGGTTTGTGTGCTGTTTCGAGGATTCTTACATTTGTGTAATTTTATGCTATGCATCAAAACTGTATTGTATTTATGGTATAAATCAAGTCTATGGGGGATGGTGAAATATTAATTTGATGAATTTGATTCAAATGAATTTAATGTTACGTTTTACATATTACATAAAAGAAATCTTTCTAAATGCAATATTAGCATACAAGAAGGATATGTAACGAAGCAAAAGAAAATGTAAATGATGAAAAAAAGATGATATTTTGATTGGATAATGTTTGAACAATTTTTGATGATTACAGCAAAGAATGATGAGATTTTTTACATATAGCATTTAGTGTTTGTTACAATTTTGTATTTTTTTGTATTTTTTTTTTGTTTCACCTTCTATCTTATCCGGGATACGAACTATAAAATTAAAAAAAAAAATCAAAATATATTTGATAAATAGAATGTTGATCAATTAATAATAACAAAAGTGCAAAACATTCGTCATTTGATACTCACTTATAGCTGATGATTGCAGTACAAATGATGTGACTATAAATACAGCTAATCTCGTCATGGTTGCACGTCTTATATCTTATTTTCTTTTATCTGAAGATAAAATAAATCAAATATGGTTTCTATTAGAAAACAATTAATAGAAATCAAATGAAATAATTATTTAATAGAAACATTGTAATATCAATTTTGTAATCCTATGAGAATGAAATTACAAAATTATTCAAACTAACGATTCCAATGATCTTTTTTTCTTTTTTTTTTTTTGCAAAATTAATGCAAAATAGATTCAAATATGATTTTGTAAGAATCAGGGGAATACGTGCAAATCCTTTGTATCTTTGTATGAATACAATTGGAATAAAAGCGTGTAGGGGTTTGTTCTGTCTATTAAAGTCATTTACTGTGTCAAAGTAGATCACATTAAAGTACATTGAAAAATTCAAATTAAAATCAAATTTTTAAAAAACAGTACTTTAAACAACAACAACAACAAATAAGAGTTGATCAGTTAGATTGTGTAGAAGAAGAAGAAGAAGAAGAAGAAGACTGGGCGTACTCTAGGTAATTAGTAAGGTCTCTCTCTCTCTCTCTCTCTCTCTCTCTCTATCTCTCTTTCTCAACATGTGTCATACTATTTAGCTAGAATGTGTTTTGTACTAGGCTTCTTCATGTATAAAGGGAACAAAATAGAGCACACACAGTTTAATCGATCCACGCTCTTCTGCTGAACATACAACACACATACACATACACATACCTCTTACAGATTATATATTACGAAATTTTTCATCCAAACGGATTATTCACAATTATCTCAACAAAGTTATTCTATAAAAAGGAATGCATTCATTCATTCATTCATTTGATTCGATTCGATTGGAAAATGTAAAAGAATTTCAACGATGATCTCACCGATCATGACGTCCTTCGAAATCATATAAGAGATATTCGATCGTATACAAATCATTGAGAAAGTGTCTATTCTCATTAAACAAAAAATTACTGTATTACTTCAAACGTAATTTGAATTTCATATTTGTTTTATTATCATATGTATATATATAAAAAAATTACGATCGATGTGATGATATTAGTCATTGTCACGAAAGTATTTTCCCATTTGGGGTCAGAAGGATAAAAAAGGATAGAAAAACAGTGTACAAGTCAGTGTAGACAAACGGGCACACCCGCGATGCTGTAAGCAACGAGAATCGATCGTCGCGATGCTGTCTACCGTTGCTCTTCTTTCCCTATGTCAAATGGCCAACACCCATATCTTATTAAATTCTAAATCTAAACAATAATATTTGTAGAATTATTTTCAATGAATACAACTCACCTATTTGGATGTTAAATTGTCTTTTAATGCACAAATATCCCTGTCATTACCACGGCATTATCGAAAACAAACGACTCACGCACTGAACGTACCGTACGGTACCGTAACACTGTACGTGTGCAGCACGTACATCTACACTAACACTATTTATCCCCACTCCTACTTCTTTTCTATTATATACATTCACTACTACTTATATATAAAACACCGTTTCACGTTGCTGATGCGTTCATTGTTCGCGCATGCGCAAATAATCTCACTCTCTGATCTCTTTCTATTCAAAAAAGGTGGAGTACTCTCTGAAGTCAGTCGTCAAAAATATAATAAGCGTAATTGTAAAAAGTGCGGGAATTTTAAAACAAAAAAGCGCGCTACAAATTTGAATCGTTTCAAACATTATATCTACGATAGAAATATATTTAGGATTTATTTTCAAAGATTTGTATATGTTGATATTAATAAAATGATATTGTTGAAAATCACTTTTTTATTGTTTTTACGATTTATGGTCATGTTCATAAATGTGATCCATATTTGGCTGCAACGGATGATCATCCATTACGAGAGTCGTTTACAAATGATCACATTTGTCTTTCAAGTCGTGAAATTTTAGATGACAGATAACATTCGTATCTATATTTCATTATTTGTATAGAAATCAAATGTTGTTTAAGGTTAGGTTCATTGTTTAAATAATAATTCAAAGAATAAGGGTTTTAACCCATTTAATTAAATATGATTATTGATATACATTGTACATGATCTAATTAAGAATGATTATTTACAGGTAATACTTAGATAATATACATATACATAATTAAGACTACTTGGAAATAAAAATGTCTTTAAAACATGCTATCTAGAATAAAGGCAGTTTAGTGAAATTTTCAAAAAGATCATGTTTTTTTCTTTTTATGGTATTTAACATTATTCAGAGCAATGCATTATAATGATTAATATCAAAGTAACATTGTAGACATCTTAAATATACTTGCAATATAAATCAATGCAATTATTACTAATATATACATATATATATATATGTATATATATAATTATTTTACATATTTACTTTAAAATTTGACTTAACACAATGTAATTGCATTCAATCATAAATACTACAATGTACAAAATTCTTTTAATCATTATTATCATTATTACAATTAAATCATTTCTATATATATATATATATATATATAATTTGTTAACCTTCGTACGTGAAAGTAGATTCAATTGAAAAAAAAAAAAAAAGAAACTACGTAATATTACAATACATTTATATTACGTGCAAGACAAATTATTATCATTCGATTAAAATTCTTCGCTATCTAAATATTCTTTTTTTTTTTTTATCAATTCTTGTTATCCGAAAAAGAAAAAAAAAATATATATATATATATGTATATGTATAATTTTTCACTATCTAAATTGTATTTCTCAAAAGATATTTCTCTTGCTTATTGCTATCATTATGTGGTGTCTTATAATGTACATAAATGAAAAATTACATATAATCACAATTGATGAGCCATACGTTAAATGGTATTTTTTTTTTTTTTTTTACTAACATTATTTCAATGATATATATATATATACATATATAGATATATGTATAATAGATATATGATATATATCACAATTCATTATCATACAATTTATAAATAAAAAAAGAAATGATTCGAAAAAAAAAAAAAAATTAAAAAAATTATCCTATGGATTAATGTTCATTTTCATTAATGTGACGTAAAAAGTATGTTACTTTGACTTGTTCTACATGACGACAAAGCTTCATGGCTAAACTTGTTCGTAATTTCATATGTTGCGTTAAAGATGGCAAGTTTAACAATAAAAAGGCGAGACCATCTATTTCCTTAAAAGAACATAATATTATATTATTAATATCTTATTGAACAAGTTTTATTATTGTTTATAACTTTGTTATTATTGTAATGTAAAATAGAGTATGACTTACTTCTTGTTTAACGCGATAAGCGATATCCTTGCAGTCGCTTGTTTTTCGTAGATATTGAAAAACATCATCAGTCGTCCAAAATAAAGGATTTGAACTGAGCTTTCGTGTTTTCGGTCTTCTCTGTTTTTTTTGTCTTCTCACATATTCAGCATCAGCTTCAGAACAATCAGATTCTATACTTGTATCCCAATCACGTATTCTTTTACTTCCTCGAGTTGTTGTCACGTTTTGACTGAATCTTGTAAAATGATGTTTGGTACTCATACTGTTAGGACTACCATTTCCATTATCTTTCACTTTTCTATCATTAAATGAGCTTCCAGAATCCTCAGAAATGTTACTAGATGGAGGTTCAGTTTTGAAATCATCTGATTTGTCAGATTTTTCAAAACTTTTTTGTATCATAATATCTATTTCCGAAAGTGGTTGTCTATTATTATCGAATGTTGTTTCTTCAGGAGGAGCTCCTTCTGATGATGCATGCTTTGCTAAATCCAATGGCATAAATGGCATCTCATCTTCGAATTCACAATTTATTCTTTTGTCCTTGTTAGCCCATCTGCCACGTTTTCTCCTACGTTTACTACCCCATTGCTTTGGTTTTTGAACCATTATACTTGTATAACCTTTTGGTTTGCCTCGTTTTCCTGTTCCAACTGATGCTGCTATAATTATATGTTCTATCAATTAAATAATAATAAAACAAAAACATAGATAAATGTATTTGTTATTATACTTACTGAATTTAGTTTTTGATGTTTTATGACATTTGTCTGGACATTCGTTTTCTAATACGTGCAATGGTCCAAATAAATTAGGACATACCATTAATTTTTTACAAATATTCCTACAAAATTGTGCTACCTTTTCTCCAGAATTAACTATAGCAACTTGGGCAAGATAATTATTATTTTTATGTTTTGCTTTTAATACTTGCAAATGATATCCAGGATCTGGTTTAGTGTCGCATTGTAATACCTTTAAAATTCTTGCACTTCTGTATCCAACTGACACTATCATGGTTAAAACTTCTTTCATTACTAAATTTACAGGACCGGGTCCTACTGATTTTGGCAGAGTAGCTAATTTTCCTTTAGAAATCATTGGTCCGGTAAAACAACGATAATTAAAATATATTTTAGGACACCACAAGGATGATCGTGGTTCTGAAATTGGTATATCTATGATATTATTTTTCTTTTCTAATCCAATTGGAGGTTGTACTTTTTTACAAATTTCTATATAATCCTTAGGTGGTTTTAATGGATAATGATTAGATTCGCACCAACCAACTGGAAATATTTCCAAAGAGTTCATATGAACTATGTGTTCTGGTTTACTATCGTCATAATTATCTAATTTTATCCATAATAAATTCTGAATTATTTTGGTAATATGAGCAGCACAGATGATATTTTTATATTCTGGATCAACAGCTTCTAAACGCATGCCACATTCAAAACCTGCATCTATTGCATTTAATCTATCGTAAAATAAACTCTCATCTGCCTGTATACTTTCTGTATTTTGCAAATATTCGTTCCAATCGAACTCTTCGTTAATTGAATTCCAACCTTCTGGTTTTGTAATTCTAGAAGAAACATTAAGTGTAAAGAAAATTTGTTATTGAGTATTACGAATAATATATGTGTTTTATTATCAATAATAATACTTACTTAATACCATGCTTTGTGGACCAACCAATTGGAAATATGTATGGATGTTCTGCTGTACAAAGCCATGTATTATTTTCTGAATGATTGTACAAACAAGTTTCAATATCAGTACCATTTACATATTTATCATATTTATCTATATGGACTAAAAAATATATGTCATCGAATACTTTAATAACAGTAGCTGGATAGATTTTAGTCTGATTAATTGGATCCAATGCTTCCAATTTCATTCCAACTTTAAAATGATGTTTAGGATGATCGATATTATTAGTAAATAAATCTTCTGGTATATCACAGTTTTTTGGATTAGATTCGAGTGAATCTTTCCATTCTTCATAAGTATGTCTATCTATTATAGAACTAGGTGGTTGCAAAAACCAAGTTGTATCTGATTTCGATGCAAATCCATATTGATGTAAATGTTCTGATGTACAAAATATCCAAAAATCTTTGAACGATGAACCAGGTGTATCATATCTCAACAAAAGACGTCCACCAACGTTTTCAATAATCTGATAAAGCAATGTTATTTATGAAATAATTACATTTCAAATGTTTTCAAATGATATTTCATTGATAATTTGTTTAAATATGATAATTTGCTTACCGTAGCTACCCATAATTTGTAAGGATGTACCACATCACTTACTTCTACTTTCATTCCTTGTTTAATTTTTTCTATCATGCTAAGATCATCCTATACATATATATATATATATAAAAGAAATTAATATTAATCAATTAAAATATGATACTTTGTGTAAACAATTATTAATACAAAGATAAATATGATCGAATATTTACCCCAGATAAAAGTTGTGGTGGTACAGTACGTGCAGTTGTTAAAAATTCCGATAATTTGTCAACGCAATCTGGTGACTTTTGAAGTACAATGTCAGGTGGCTCTAATATTTTATTATTAGCTTGACACCAACCAAGCTCATGACCAGCTTCTTTGGTAAGATTAAACCAAAATTCTAATGTTCTATCATCTCCACCAAAATATCGTAATCTTAATAATGGCCCACAAGCCATAACAATAGTAGCAACCCAATAAGTTGTATTAGATTTATCTGTAACTTCTTTTCTTGGTACTTCTAACGACATTCCAATATCAATACCACTTTCCAATGTTAATTCAACATGTGGAAACATAATTTGTGGTACTTCAACACTTTTTGTAGCATCAAGATAATCTTGCCAAACAAATCCATTTTCTGTAAAAAAAAAAAAACAAAAAAAAAAAGAAAAAAATAAATAAATAAATAAAAACAGAACAAATGTAATAAAAGTAAATATAATGTAATAATATTGAAAAACAAAACAAAATATTATTTTTATTATTTAAATAAATAATGTTTTTTTTTTTTTTAATTTTTTCTTTTTTAATTAGAATTATTAAAATTTATTAATTTATTAATTTATTATTATTATTATTAATTATTAATTAATATATAATTATAATTATTAATGATCTCATTATAATATATGATAGTCATTACGAATATGTATATATATATATATCTATATATACATATTGAATAAAACGCAGGTATGGATACCTGAGAATATAATCATGTATAAAAAAAAACAAAATATGTAAATTAAAGGAGATAATGAATTCACATGGTGGTGTGGCCATAATTGCGTATTAAAAAAAGAAAGTTGTCTAGTAGATCTATGTATCCTATGATCGTAATGATTATTATTAAAACGATATATACTCGAATCTATCGTTGTCATTTTATCCTAGTATTTTTTTTCCAAATAATGTTTTACTTATTTCAAAGTTTTTGTTTTTTTTTTGTCGATTGATTGATTGATTGATTATTATTATTATTATTTAAAAACAAATTAGTATTTGTTTTTGGTATGAAAACTTAAGGTTACTAATTAAAATGCAAATATATTCTTATAATCTCTCTTTGACTTAATTTGTTATCGAAAAATTCAAGCACATCGTTATATAATTACATAATTATTATATTACATTATATACAACGTACGTATTAGAATAAATAAATTAATTCATTTGCGATATCGTAAAAAAAAACAAACAGAAAAATAAGAATAATGGATAAAAAAAAATAAAGAAATAATTTAATATATAATAAAATTAAAATTAAAATTAAAATAAAAAAACAATTATTAATAAAAAAAAAAAAACTTACCACTTTCCATCATGGGCTGATTATCGTGAGTTTCCATGTTTTTCTTCATGCGTTTATAAATATTACAGTGAGAAAGATCGTGAGAATCCTGCAACACATCATCATACATTGAAATCAATGTTTTTTTCTTTCTTTTTTTTAATTTTTTATTTTATTTAGAACAGGCATCGAAATCATTCAATATTATTCTATTCGTTACAATAATTTCTAATTCGTTACTTACTTACAATTAATTAATATTAACCTATTATTCGTTATTTCAATGATTACTTACCAATTATTATTATTATTATTATTATTATTCAAATAAATAATATCTTTTTGTGCGGATAAATCTTTATTATTATTATTATCATCGAATTTAATTTTCAACGAAAAATACTATCTTCGCTCATAACAGTTCGTCGTTCTACGCTTGCCCCGCCATTGCATGTGTGTTAGTGTACGCGCGCATGTATCTTCCTTCTCTTTCTATCTTTCTTACTCCCTCTACCTAATTCTTTCTCACTCGCTCACTCACTCACTCACTCACTCACTCACTCACTCACGCTATCGCGCTATCGTTTTATCTCACTTTCTCTATCACTCTACGAACACTATATATATATATATATATATATATATATATATACATACTTCTCTCTTCGTATTATTATACTACTCATTTACTATCTTTCTCTTCTTCAAGTCTCCAATTTCGTTTTTAGTTGTTTTTTTTATTTTTTTCTTGATTTTTCCTCTTATTTAGCGTTTTTTCTTTTTTATTCATTTCAATTATTCCTTACACCTCGAACACTTCTTAACTTGTCGAAGAACCAATAAGAAGTGGATCAGTGTTTTTCCGAATTTCTTTTGCACTCTGATCTCCCCACCCCCACTCCTGCCCCTTTCCCCCCTGATTCTTTCGTCAATTTTCCTCCCCCTAATATTCTCCTTCCCTCTCTCTCTCTCTCTCTCTCTCTCTCTCTTTCTACTTTCTCTTTTTCATTAATCGTAATTCTCGTTTTAAAACTAACCTTTACCTTTCGTCCCTATGGACTTTATTACTAATTTTTATTTAATGATATTTCAAATTATCTACACTAGTTAAAATAATCTTTTATCTTATGTTTAATTTTAGAAAGATTTCTATATACGATTTTTATTTATTCAATTGTATTATTGATTTTTTTTTGTTTTTTTTTTTCAAGATTATTTATATAAAATGATTTTTGATTTATTGTTATACTTTTAGTTATTATTATTATTATTATTATTATTATTATTATTATTATTATTATTATTATGGAAAAGAAAAATCTTTTAAAAGATTTGTAAATTATTAGATGTTTCATTTATTTCTCGATTGTTCTTTTATTTTATTTTGTTTTATTTTTTTTTATTAATTTATTTTTATAAATTTGTTATTGGTTCACTCCGTTGATCTTTCGTTTATTAATTTTTTTTTTTCTTCTTTTCTTCTTATTTAATTATTTTCAATGAGTAATTTTATTTTTTATTTTTTATTTTTTTTTTTTATTAGATAAATTCGATCAATACTTGTAATTTGTGAATGACAAAAAATCAAATTAGAATTTATCTTTTGGAATGATTTTATACGGAGTAAAAAGATTGTTCTAGATGAAAAAAAAAAGAAAAAAAAAAAAAAAGGAAAAGTATTCGTACAAGTTCTATTAATAACACACGTGGCCGCCCTTTTTCGTTTCTAATTCAAATAATATTATATTATTATTAATATATTGAATTATTACTGAATGAAAATTTAATTGTTTAAATGAAAATCTTAATAAAAAAAGAGAAAAAACCATCATGCATTTCGTTCTAAAATAAATTCCTTAAGGTTTGTATGCACCATCTTGCGAATCGTTCTTTTCTTGTTCCGATTTCTTCGAAAACAAACGGTAACTCTTTACCGATTTTTTTTTTTTTTTTTTTTTTTTTTTTTTTTTATATCGCAATAATTATTTCAATAATTTTTATTTTTTTTTTTATATTTTCCAAAACTTTGAATACAAATGAAACAAATGATTGATCAAATTGATGATACTACTAACAAAGAATGAACATTTTCAATATTACTCTGTAATATTTTACTAATTGTACAAGTTTAGATTATAAGAAAACATAAAACGATCAAATTGAAATGATTTAAATGAAATGTTTATAATGAATTTAAAAATGCACTATATAGTTAATAAGACGTACATGTAATCAAATATACGTATGTGTGTTTATATGTTATTAATAAAATATTGATCATACCGAATATTTTTAATTATACACTCAACGAATTTATCTTCTAGACACTACTACAACAGACGATACTCTTTAAGCGCTATCTGTACAGATTTTTTTTTTCATAGTTAGGTTAGGTCACGAACGATTAGCGGTAATATTTGAAATTTCGAGTTTCCATCGTTATATTTATTTTACATTTATCTATTAAATTACAAATATGATTATGATTTTTGTCAATTTAATTACTAATATTTAATGTTTATAGAAAAAGTATAATAGTATATGTGATATTTCACAAACGTTTAATTGATATTTGAACGATTTAAATAAGTTACTCTTAACCTACAAGATTTCGTTTCTTCTTATGCATTAATCATTTACAATACAGTAGCGCCATCTAGATTATTTTTCTATTTAAGGCTAGGTCGCAAGTAGCGGTAGTTTTTGATATCTCGTATTTACATTAGTGTATTTCTTTTTGTATTTATTTGAATAATTAAATATACAAATATGATATTTTCAATTTGTTCGCGAAGATTTAACATTTATAGAAAACGTATAATAATTTATGAAACATTGCAAAGGTGTAATTCATCTTTGATCGATGTCAATAAGTTTTATAACCTCAAAGGGTTATTTCGTTTATTGTCAAGCAATGCATTGTCATCACGTTTAAATTTACCTGTTTCCGATAACAGTATTAGAAAATATTTAGATTATCTTTCCGACGTTTATAAAAGTAATCGATGGAAAGACAATAATTTATTTCAAATGATTGATGTTAAATCTATGAGTGACATATTGAGTGAACGCATCAACATTATAGAAAATATTACAAACTTGCAAGAACTTGGTAAGTAGTATAACAATTGTTTTTTAATGTTGTCATCAGTGTTATGAATTAATATGAAAACTTATTTATATGAATAGGCAAAGAAGACGAAGAAATGAAAAAGTTAGCTGAAGAAGAAGAGGTAATGTATGAGGAACAATTAAATGATCTTGATGAAAAATTATTGAATAGAATATGGTATGATCTTGATAAGAAAAATTACAACAATATCATATTGGAATTATCAGCTGGTGTTGGTGGTACAGAAGCAATGTTATTTGTCGAAGATCTTTACAAAATGTATACAAGATATGCCAATTATTTAGGAATAGAATATGAATTATTGGAACTTGGTAAAACTGACAAAGGTGGTTTGAGATATACCAGTATTTTATTAAAAGGTAATTTAGCTTATAAAAAGTTTCGACACGAAGGTGGTGTACACAGAGTACAAAGGATACCAGAGACTGAAAAATCTGGTCGTATGCATACCAGTACGGTGTCAGTTGCTGTTACACCAGAACCTACAGATATTGAAATTAATTTAAATTCTAAAGATTTGAAGATAGAAACAATGCGAGCATCAGGTGCTGGTGGTCAGCATGTCAATACGACTGATTCTTCTGTGAGAATAACTCATTGTCCAACTGGTGTCATGGTAACTTGCGAAACTCAAAGATCACAATTGAAAAATAAAGAAATAGCACTGTTAAAGCTTAAAACAATATTATATCAACAAGAATTGAATAAACAAATTGGAATTGCTAGTGATATGCGTAAAAAGCAAATGGGTTTAAAAATGAGAAATGAAAAGATAAGAACATATAATTATAATCAAGATCGTATCACAGATCACAGATTGGAAAATGGTACGATGCATAATTTAAAAATATTTATGACAGGTGGTGCCGAATTGGAAGAACTTGGGAATAGATTGCAAAATGATATGCAAATAAAAATCTTAATAGATTTAATTAATAATTTAGAATCTGAAAGAAAGTAATATATAAATACATCAGTTTTTTCTTTTTGTTTTTCTTAAAATTTATATCATCTTTTTTTTTTTTTGACAAAATTTGTTTTGTGTATATAAGTGTTAAATTGTATATATATATATATTTATATTTATATAATATAGTTTAATCGAATAAATAATACATAAAGTTTTAGGTAACATTTATATTTTTTTTTTCTTTCTTATAATATAGGATTCGTCCTATTCATAGAATTTTGTAATTTATTTTGAAAAAGATACAACAAGATTTGAATAACGACGTGTCCACAGGCACACATTATTTTCTTTTAACTGTTATATAATACAATAATATACAAAATTAATATATCCATCGTAGTCTCTATAAATATTATATGTTAAATGCGCTCTGGCGCTGTAATAATAATAATAATATATATATATATATATATATATATATATCTTACATCAATTAATGTACATACAAAGCGCAAATGTGAATGATCATAGTTTATTTATGAATGTGTGCTCTTTTATGCGCTTCTGCTCTAAAATATTACTAGAAACAACTATCTATAATAAATCACTATGAAGAATTGTTTGAGTAATTGCATAATGATTCTCACAGCGAGTAGAGTTCCGACACATAAACGCAAGATTCTTTTATTAAACGATTAACCTACATGAGGAATGAAGTACTTTAACACCTACAACGTTATTATCAAGAATTACTCGGCTCGTTTAAAGTATCATTTAAATTTTATTTATGTATGTGTGTGTGTCTGTCTGTCTGTGTTGTCGTCAACATTTTTCTTCCTATAACGTTCATAATTCATTTATGATGATTATCATCTAGTATTATTTATTTACAATTAGTTGCACACAGTATGAACATACAACCTATTTCATTTGTTTCTCTGTATTTTTCTCTCTTTTTTTTTTTTTTTTAATAATCAATCAATCAATCAATCAATCATTCATTTAAATGTGTGTGTGTGTGTACCTTTGTACATAAAATCCTCAGCTAAAATTTAAAACTATCCTATTATGTATCCCTAACTTATAGAAACATCGATTAATGAATTAATTAGTCAAATGTAAAAAATAAAAAAGAAAAAATCCATAATTTGACATCTTATTAAAATATATGGACGAGCAGCATAAATAATGTCCCTCAAATAGTATCGACGACGATTATTGAATATTTAATAAATAAATAAAGGAATTTTATTTAAATGCATATTGCAATGGATGAAGAAGAGAGACACTGGTAAAAAGAGAGTAAAATTTTGAAAAGAGCAGTAGCGCACAGATTGAGAGCAAATCGCATTGCGTTTTCGGGCAGTAAGATTTTGTTTTTGTTTTGTTATTGGACTTCTTCTTCTTCTTCAACTATTATTAACGCACGTTATTATTTTTCCATGCGTTTATAATCGAACGATTATATTAAAATCATTTCGATATTATTATTATTATTATTATTTGTTATTATATATCAGCCATTATTATTTTCTCAAGCCGTGCTGCAAATCAGCAGGGTGTGAAAAGAGAGGTAGAAACTTAGGGTCGCTTCTAGCATAAGCGTTTTCATCGAGATATAAGTCGATGCATTTTTTTTTTGTTTTTTTCACTAGATTCTAGAGATTTTTGACATTAGATTAATCACTGGTTTGACACTTCTTTGCTTATTAAGAAGGACATCATCGTATATGATCGATATCAATGAAATGATATCATCTAGCAATGAAATAATATTATTAATTTATCTATATTCGTTTATCCAAAAAGCAAGATTTAATTGCACCGAAAGACAATTTGCCTAATCAGTATACACGTTAGCAACAAAAATATAACAAAATTGTTTGGCCCTGTCAAACTTGCCAATCCACAGAGATCCTTTATTTCACTTTCTCTTGGATGAGTCCTTATACAGGATTCTGGCCTTTTTCTTTTCAAAAATGTCCACGCCTTTTGACAAACCAATGAATTATTTTCATAAATCACTTCCTCAGGTATCACGGTTAACGGTGGTGAAGTTGTTTCGCTACAAATGCCTGTGTTTATTACGATTAATAACATATTGCTGAAATTAACCGGTTGTACAACGTAGGGTCTTGTACAATCATCTTCCATATCAACTTCAAAGTAATGATTTTTTACGGACGAATTTCGTAAATATAAGTACACCTGAAATTTAACATATTAACGATTTCAATTAGCTTACTCGTTGTTATTTATAATTATTATAAATAATTATTTGTATTAACCTCTTGATCGCATGCTTCTGGACGTGTCCTATTGATTAAAACGTTCATATTAAACAATTTCTCATCTTTTGAATCTATCGGTGTTTTGTCATTCTCTTGATAATCCTCATGCATGCTGTCACTTTCGTTAGGATCAGCATAACCGTATGCATAATCGGAATTCCAAATTCCTGATTTTACCCAGGCCCAAGTCATTTGACCAACTATCCAAGTAATAGCTTTCTTCAAGCTTGTCCAAGGCTATAAAAAAAAAAAACAATTGATATCCTTAAATAACTCAAATAATTTTCTCCAATAAATTAATGCATATATTTATCATAAATTGAAAATACTAACCGTGAGTAAAATACTGGCGTCGTTTTTAGTAGATTTACTTTTGAAACAAACTGCTTGATAATCGTACATTCGGATTCTTTCAAAAATACCTTCCTTAACAAGTCCAGCCATTATAGGACCTCTAACTTCACCGAAAAATCTTCCAGCATCGTACTCGCTTTCAGCAGCTATTATATATCCGTTGTTGTCAATCAAATAACATGCCAATGTATCATCCCCACAATGTTTTTGACAATTACCAAGTCCTTCGCAATTGAACGTTATATTTTGAAAGAGACCTTGCAATGCTGTATGTTGAAATTGAAATCCTACAACGGCTGCCGGTGCTTTCATTTTTCCATTACCTGTTGTGAATAATGATTTTCCATAAAAAAAAAAAAAAACAAAAACAAAATGTTAATGTAGATAAAATAGATGAAGTAATAATTAGAAAATAATTCTACCGATAAATATGGCACGACTGGCAGTGACCAAAGTAGTGTTGTCTGCTCCCTCGTCATCGATTGGTACAGAAAAAACGAAACTTTCTGGTTGAACATAATGTTGTTCAACAGCACGTTTGTACCAGACCTCATCTATTGCTCTAGAATACATTTTGCTAAAGTGATCGTCAGGTATAGGATCTTCTTCATCCAAAAGAAAATCTTGCCATCTTGTCAAGCCATTGTGAGTAGCCATAAAAGCAAGCGTCACACCAAAACGTTGTTGAAATTCTTTCCTGTGAAACAAAATTATATGTTGAGATTTCATTCCAATATTTTGTCTCGTCTTCTCTCTTTTTTTTTTTTTTTTTTCTTCAGTTTACTATTATTTATAAGTAATAAATCATTACGAATATATCGAATAATTTGTTCGTTTATTATTAGGTGTATAACTTTGCTTCCATTATTTTCCTACAGATGGCTTATAGACAAAAAATGGTGGAAGGAAAGTTGTACACCTATTAATCTACGTAAATTTTGATGGAAAATCTATCAAGATGTTCAATCAAATGGTTTCATAGAAATTTGCATGAAAGTATTACAAATTACAAATCTATTTATTATATTAAACAAGTTAGAATTTGATTTGTTTTTGAAGTGAAAACTTCTTTAGAGTAGCAGGGTGATTTGAAAATCGTGAAACGGAAGAAACCGTGAAACGGAAGAAACTGTGAAACACCGATGAAACAAAAATAATGAATTAATTAATAAAATTCAATATATAAAAATTCAGTGTGTCACAATATGTTTGTCCACTAATAATTTCAAAACTACTCAACTTATTTTAATGAAATTAATTTTATTTCACGTGATTTGTTCCAACTTAGCACATAGCACAATTTTTAGAGGTTATCTAAGTTCTGTAAAGTTCTTTCAATAGATGGCACTGTATTACAATTCAATTGTTTCGATATATTCACGTCTGGAAACTTGGTATTTCTTTGAAGGTTTCACTTCTACCGTGTGTGATCTGCACACATCTGTTTTTTTTTTGTTCAAACTTGATTGCAAATTCAAATAAAAACAATGCAAATTTGTATGATATCGTAGAAATGAATATAATTATATTTCTACAGCGAGTGTACGGTAGTTCATATCGAGGAAATCCACTTTGTTATATCCTCGTCCTCTTAACAAATCCAATCCTGAAGAAAAGATGATGTTGCTGGCCATACGAAGAAGAAGAAGAAGAAGAAGAAGAAGGAGCAGAGCAGAGCAGAGCAGAGCAGAGCGGAGCGTTACAACAAGCAACTTGTTTGTTTGCTAATATAAAAGTTTCGATGAACCAACAAGAAGAATGTTTGGTGACACCAGATAAAAGAAGAAGGTAAATGATATATTTTCTGACGAGTTCATTTAGAAAAATGAAAGATAAACAAATTGCTCTTGAAATGAATCAAACAAAATGGTTGACAAAAAAATCATAATTAATTTGTTAAAAACAAAAATAATAAGATTTAATAAATCATTAAATAAATAAGAAAAAAAAATATATATATATACAGCTGTACAAAGGAGGATCGAGAAACAACTTGGGAAATAAATTGATAGTACGAATAGAGTAATAAAGATCGTAAATATTATTATATCGAGGCAATTTGTAATTGGTTTTTTTTTTTTTTTTTTTAATTTTTTTTTTATAAGCGAAAGAGGTGCGATTTGATGAACGTTACCTGGTTAGCAGATTCATCAGCCTAGCTAAAGGTCTGCATTGCGTCAAAGTGGGTTAAGTATTAGTCAAAAAAGAATAGGTGCATTTTTTGTTGTTGTTGTTGTGTGTGTGTATGTTTTGTTTTACTATCCTGATTATAAAGAAATAAAATAAAAAAAGAAGATGAAAAATTGTGCAAATAACTTAAGAGAACATAGAAACAAAAAACGACGACACACAGTTATTTATCATTCTCTCTCTCTCTCTTATTTTTTTTTTTTTGTTAAATTCTCTCACTCATATTCACTCAATCATCTCTCATTCTCTCTCTCTCTCTCTCTCTCTCGAGTTAATACGTGACGATGTGTTTGCGCTTGTATGACAAAATTTGATTCGCGTTAAGAAATTAATTTGTTTTTTTTTTGTTCTTTTAATAATAATTTATATATCTTCGCATATATATATATATATATATCCGTTTGAATAATTCGCAAGTTTGAAAATTTGATTAGAAAAAAATAAATAAACAAAATTCAATGAAAATTTAACTCACCCTGTTTCTTCGCGAGTGGTACTGGGATTCGCAAACCATTCGGTTACCTTAGCATCAAACACCAGACTCAAAAGAAGACTTCTATCACAGTAATAGGAATTTTTGTCTGTTTTGTTAGGATTGGCTGTTAACACAAAGAATTTGTTTTTATTTAGAAATTAAAATTAATTTTGGATATTTTGATTTAACACGTTGATTGTCACCACATTGCAGGTCATGAGGTGACAGTCAATGTGTATATTCCAATTTTTGAATGAATGAATGAATTAATTAATAAACTTACGATAAGATTTACGATGAGAACCATGACCGGAACTCGTGGCAAACTCTGGCGGTTGGGATCGTTTCATGTCGATCCACTTCCAACCTGGCTGACGAGTACGTTCAAGAAAATGTAACAATTGCATTTCTGATGTATTGAACTTGTGTTCATCTTTATAATGATATCTATGATAATAAGAAATATTTATTTTAATAATAACAATTGAATAAAATCAACTTTTAGTCGATGATCAGTCCCATCAAATGAAATACAACAAGAGTTCAAAGTTTGTTCATGAAAATACAAAAAATATGCAAACTCACTTGCAATACAACCAATCAGGATGTACCAGCCAGTTGTTACCCGCGAAGTAATCTGTCACGTCTTTTCCTACGACAAGTCAATGTTATATAATTCTTCTTTTAACAAAAAGGATTACAAAACAAATCACAAAAAGAAGTATGCTCACCCTTCACACGAGCTCTGTGTATATCTTCGGTGGCATATACACGATAGTTTTCAGAATAATCGTGTATTGGAAGACTCACAACCACCGTGAATGGGGTGTTTGAAATTCCGACATAATTGTACGTACGTTGAACTCGGCCAACGCGTTTCTATTTGAAAATAAAACAAACAAACAAACAAACAAACATTCAAATATACAATAATAAATAAAATATATAAAACGCGTTGTTGTTGTGGTTCACAATCAGTCCGATACGCACATCTTTAAGTCAGCCATCTGTTAGAATCTTATCGAACTAACAGAGATAATCATGACTCTAATTAATTAATAAACAAATAATTTGATTATAAATTGAGATATAAACTATTCTATCTTTCAAGTTGGATGAAACTGCACACAGTGTGCAAAATTTGATTAAAATCGGTTCAGTAGTTTAGGAATCCATTGCGAACAAACAACGTGACAGCACGTAATTTATATATATATTATAAGAAGTATAACATTAATTATTAATTTAAAATACAAATGTAATAATTTCATGAAACACAAGGGTACGTATCCATCTCATAATTTTAACGAATATATATTTTATTCTGAAGTTGCAGTTATTAAAAAAAATTGCAAATTGCGTCCGAAAAAAGGGTCTATTGGTGGGTAATGGGTTAACACATAAAATATATATTTACGTTAAATACATACCATGTCATCGTAATGATACTTCGTATGAAACGTCACACTACCGTTAACTTGATTGATCACATCATTACGGAACTGCAAAAGAAGTAAGTTATTTGATATCTTAAGTGTCCAATATTGAATGTGAAATGCTTCATTTAATAAAATGAATCATCATTTGATTATACATGCATGCACATACCATAATGATTCCTTCATCAAATTCTCTTGGTCCTTTGTCTTGATCCAAGAGTTCAACCTCGGTCATATCGACACTGTTGTATGCCGGTTTTAATATACCCTGGAACTTTAAAAAATAATATTTTTTTTTTTGGTTATATATTCAATTATTATAATTAAACATGATTTAAAATCTTTCAAATTATTCTAATTAATAGTTACCACTGGTCGAAGGTCAGGATGAATTAGGATGTAGCCATTATTGGTTACGATGAAAGCATATCCATTAACACCCAACTAAAAAATATTAAAAATAGATTATGTTAATTTTGGGATGAATAATATTAATTGTTATCAATAGATTTATTAAACAAAAATAATGATAATTTTCTTACCACGTGTGGCATCATTAATTTTTCTATTTCCTCGATTGGTACGTCCGTGCCAGCAACACCGAGAAGATCGGCGATTCGTGTCTGCGCATACAATGATGAACAATTGAAAAATAATTTTCTTTTTTTTTTTTATGTCGCGTGACAAATGGACGTGTTGTTGTTTTTTTTTTTTTTTATATATATATATATATATATATCGAAATAAATTACAAATGATCATATCATCCCAAGTTCGCATAACCAGAAGCGTATCTACCTTCTCCAACAAGGCTATCACAATGTACTCGTTTTCTAAAGACACACTGTTACTAATATCAAAATTAAATAATAATAATAATAATAATAATAATAATAATAATAATGATAATGATATATACTAAATTAATAACGATAAGAATGTGTGTTATTTGACACGTCTTGGACATATGTATATATGTAAGTAAGTAAGTAAATAAGTTAAAGTAAGTTAAGTAAGTTATGTATAGAAAACTAGCATACTACTTTTTCAATAATAATATTAATAATAATAATAATTATTATTATTATTATAATGATAATAATTAATTATAATTAAAATAATTATAATTAAATATATAATTATATAAATAAATAAATAAATAAATAAATAAATAAATGTATATATATATATATATATATATAATAGTAATTAATTATAATTAAATATATAATTATAGAAATAAATAGATAAATATATGTATAAAATTAATTATAATTAAAATAATAATATTGAATGATATAATATAAAAATAATAATAATAATAATAATCATCATCATCATTTTTGACGCAGGCTAAATCCTAAGTATTCAAATTCCAAATGAATAAATTAGCTCGTCGTTGATCTTTCGGTCAATCGATTTTTACAAATAATACGAATTTTTATTGAAAAACATTGTATTTTTTTTTTTTTGTTTTGTTCAAATTACATTGCGAATAAATAAATATTTTCATCGAACAATTCGTATTTTGGTAAAAAATAAAAAAAAATAAAAAAAATCGTTTGACTTCAACGACGTTATAATAATAATAATTATTAATCTACTAACGTAATTTTTCTAACGAAATTCTAGCACTCAATAAATAAACTGCCAAGTCGTATCGTGTTTTTCAAATTATTCTAAATTAGAATAAAAATCTAATAGACTTTTCTACTTTTTGCTTTTTCTATTTTTTTCTTTTTCTATTTTTCAATTTTTTTTTTCATTCAAAACATTCATTTTTTTTTTTATTTTTTTGTTTTTTTTTGTTCTTTTTCACATCAGACACGACGACTGCAGAAAATTGACCTCGTCTACGAGTCAACTATAATAATGATAATAATAATAATAATAATAATGATAATGATAATAACGACAACAATAATAATAATAATAATTAATAATTAATAATAATAATAATAATAAAAATGATTAAGTTTTTACGAGGAAGTTCGCCGTTCGCAATCCAACAGGCGGGCGGGAATTTCCCATTTTATTTTATATTAATTTTTTTTTTTTTTCTACTCGTCTCGACAGGACACAGGGTAGACTAAAGTACCTAAACCTACCTAATGATTAAAACAATTGCAGTAACTAATGTTAGATTAAAGTAAGATACCAGAGAGATAGATAGAGAAAGACAGAGAGAGATAGATAGATAGATAGAGAGAGAGAGAGAGAAAGATAGAGAGAGAGAGAGACGAAGGTGGACCTAAAAGGAACGAAAGAGAAATTTCACACTACGACCGTTTCTTGTTTATTCCTATTTACAAAAATAATTGGCTTTCTTTTTTTTGTTTTTTTTTTTAATTTTATTTAGCAAAATATTAATTATTGAATATACTTTAAATATTATATTAATTATATATTTTTATATTAATAATTATAATTATTAATATATATATTACAATAATACACATATAATAATATTGGGATTTCTGATAGGGGCGTGGCATAGGAATTCGACCTATCTACTCTAATTTTGAATTTAGCCACCAGATAGCGTATTCATAGTACTAAAGATCTCACCACGTGGCTTAACAATTCCACCTATCTACTCTAATTTTGTATTTAGCCACCAGATAGCGTAGTCAAGTGCTAGAGATCCCAATATAATAGAACCTGTTAGTTTTGTAAATTGATAATATTATACTTGTAACGTGCAATCAAAATGTTTCAACGTTAAATAATATACGGTCGTAGTGTTAATGAGAATATAAAAGGTGTAGAATATAGGTAATAGGGTTAATTCTATGCATTGAAAAACAACGTTGCTTGTGTTTTTTTTTTTTTTGTTTAGCTGCCAACCTCTCTTGTCTCAGTCACCCAGTAAGCTTCGTTCACCAGCACCTGCCTTGTGATGTTCTGTGGACAAAGAGGAACTTAAAACCCCACGGAAAGAGAAAATCAATTGTTCGATCGTTTTTTTTCTTTTTTTTTCTTTTTTTTGTTTGTTTTGTCTGGATAATTTTTGTTCATTTAAAATCTATCCAATGAACATTTCCATCTATGGATGTGATAATTAATAATAATAATAATTAACACGTTGACGCCGGCGCCGATTTTCAGTGTCTGCGCTGTGTGGGGCCGGCACTCGAATCTAAGATGCGCTTCATCTGGCGGCGCGTGATTTTTCCTTGTTCAAATTTGGACCAACGGTGGACCACCGGTGGTACGCGCCGCCCGATGGGACAGTCTAGCGCGAGCCACCGGTGGTACGCCCCGCCCGATGAGACAGTCTAGTGCGGGCCACCGGTGGTACGCGCCGGCGTTAACGTGTTAAAAGGGAACACACGAAGAAAATTCTTATTTAATTAATGATGAAGAAGTTATGATGAATCATTAAATTCAATTGGATTATCGGGGATTAGTATAAATATATGTTGATATATCTCTTTTTTTCTTTATCTGCATATTTATGATAAAAAGAGAAAAGTTCAGTTTTTGTTTTGTTAGTACGACGAATGAGAATGAAATGATTGAAATGAATCAAAAATGTTGTTTAAAAGTTTCAATGAATATCGCTAGAATGAGACAAGTTTTTGTTCAATACTTTACATACGCTTATTATTATTATTTCAATTATAAGTTTGATCTTAAGTATTTGAAAAAAAAAAAAACATTTTTAATAAGCAACGTTAACTTTTGCTTATTTTTTAATACCCTAACTCGTCGAATAATCAAATATATATTTTATTTTCTTATCGCAACTATCGATGTCATTTCTTTTCTTTTCTTTGCAATTTTGCCATACGCAATAATATCGCAATATTGAATGTATTTCTTTCGTAAGAAAATATAAAAAAATGTTCTAATAAAATTATTTATATTAATAATGAATATTGAAATATGATAGGAAGCAAACTTACCGCATTTTCACGTCTGTCGAATACTGGCATGCTAACAGAAGTCATCAATCTGTATTCCTGATAATCTTCACTTTGCTCGTACAATTTTTTCTGTTTCTTAACGAATCTTCGATCATGTTCCTCCATGTTGAATGGTTTCCTATTTCTATGGAATTGTAGAAATCGTTCCCTTTGTTCTTCACTTTCACGTTGTTCCCATAACCAGTCGGTCATTTTGGGATCGGTGATGTCCGCATAAACAGGTGTCCAAATAGTTGGATGATCCGTACGACCTAAAACCAAAGGTCTCGCCATCACCGGAATGTATTTGAGGACCTAAACAAAAAGGTTTACATTTTAAAATATATGTGTGTGTGTGTGTGCGTGTGTTCAAAAATATAGAAATAAAATCAAATGATTTTACCTCTTCTCTGACTTCTGCCAAAGTACAAAGATGAACGTAGTATCCACGATTAGCGCATGCCATCCATTGCACTTCACGAACATCTGCAACTTCTCGACCAATCAAATAAGTGAACATTCTAACCGGCATATCAGCTTTCAAAGGTTCGTCAGGATTATCCTTCCAATTATATTCTTCAAAAATTTCTTTATAATTGAAAGGTACACCATCGGTTATCAACATGATTGCTTGATTACATCTGGCACCTTCTCTTTCGGTTCGATATGATTGAAGTAAATCAAATGCCGTAGTTAATGCTAAAGAAAAATTAGCGATGTTAACCGTTTCCAAATTTGAAATGGCTCTCTTGAGTTCTCTCACATTTGCTAGATTTGCTTGGACCAATGTATCATTGAAACAAGGTACCACCTAAAAATCGAACGATCATTACGTAACATTGTTACATCAGTTATACATTTTCTATGAATCGTTTGATTGATTACTGGGTTAAGGAAATTCTTAGACGATTTATAGGATTGTTTGGAAAATTCATAAACATATTTTTAAATATAATTTTGTTAACAAGACATTGTCAGAAATAAAGAAAATCAAGTTTAGAAATGAATGAATGGTGTTTTTACCTCTTTCGTAATATTGGAGAACGTGATGATATTGACAAAATCATTATTTCCAAGGGTGTCCAAGATATTATTAACGACGTGTCGTGCAATTTCACGACGCATTCCTGTCATACTACCGGATGTATCCATTAGTATGAGAATGTCCTTCGGACTGGTAGCTGCTTCGATATACCAACTTCTGGTTCTGCAATCGAATAGATCTACCGGTTCCATATACCAGCTCATTGCAGGATACTGTCTCATAAAACCCGTAGAACTTCCAAAATATTGCCAGGACAATGATGGATCTTGTTCGTAATTATTAATAAATGTCTTGTCCAATTCCTCGGACCACTTAATTGCCCTTAAAACTTCCGATGCACGCTCGTATACGTTTGTTGGCACGTGAACCGCGGACATATTTAAATTAACTTGTCCACCAAAATGATCACTCAATTCTAAATCTATCGTAGTGTTTTTCGCGTTAACAAATTCGAATGATTCAGGTGGATCGGCATCAGGTGCTGATAAGGCTGACGTCTCGGCAACATCCATGATTCTCTGATCAACACAAATTAAACAAAATCAACAACAATCCCCAATGAAATTTATTTATCATTTGATATTATTATAAAAAAAAAAAAACAAAACGATTTAAATGATCATACCCTTATCGCAGAAATTTTCGATTCCATCATTGCTTTAATATCGTCGGCAATTTCACCAGCCAAATCTCCTCCTGCATTTTTCACCACCTGAGCGTGTTTGTAACTTTCATGAAACTTTTCCACATTCGTCACGTATTTTCCCAATTGCGATAACTCGAAGCCCAGCTTTTCCGCCCATGTTTTTACTCTAAAAGAAAGAAAGAAAGGAAAAACAAAAAAAAATACGGGGGAATGTATAATGATCGATAGAATCGATGAAAAACAACTGTAACGTCACAAGTACCCCCAATGGTTAGAAGTCTTTAACCCCCTTGCACTACTATTATTCAACTTTTATTATTTTTTAATACTTTTCATTGTTTTTGTAAAAAAAGTGTTTCAAATAAGGACACTATCCTATTATCACATAATTCTCATTCTCAACCTTTCACAAAAGGTTTTCTACAAAAATCATTCTACAAGATAAAAAATGTCCGCGGTTCAGAGAGACTTGCTAAAAAATTACTTTATATCAGTAAAATATTTTAGAATGATGCCTGCAAGGTTTTCTGAAAGATTTCTTGTTTTTTTTTTTTTTGTTGGGAAATATTTTACGAAACTTTTTGCTGAAATATTTCAAAACTTATCGTTTGTTATGTGGATACGAAAATGTATCGCGAGTTGTTTCACACGTCATTCTAGGTCAAGGGGTTAATACGATTAAACGTGTCTCCTTTCATTAGAATTACAACATCGATACGTAATATTGTGTAAATATATTCTAATATATCGTAAGATATTATTAAATTAAATTAAATAAATAATAATGACAAGAAGTGATTCGAGAGTTTGGGGGGTTGGTAAGGGGAGGGGGGGGATGAATTAAAGTCAAGTTTGATAAACACGTTATGAGAATAATCCACGTATCGTAATGAGACACTGATGTATGGTTGGATTAAATNGGGGGGATGAATTAAAGTCAAGTTTGATAAACACGTTATGAGAATAATCCACGTATCGTAATGAGACACTGATGTATGGTTGGATTAAATAAAAAAAAAAAAAAAAATTTTGTTACCTTTGCGTTTTACTGTTGTAAGTTTCAATATAATAATATCGATTAGTTAAAAAAAGAAATACTTATATTTATAATAATAATAATAAAAAAAAAGAAAAATAATAATAATAATCGAATTGATAATACGTACGTATTGTGAGAAATACCGTCACCAGGATCGGGTGCCTCGATGAGGATCAGTAACAGGGTGGCGACGATTACCGGTAGGAAAGGGGACTTCATCACTTCTCGAGCCCTCTCTAGCTTCGGCTCTCTGTTGGTGTTTACGCGAGGACACGGTAAACAAAACTGAGCTCGAGAGCAGACTCGCGTCTGACATTAAGGATGCCCACGTAGTCCTCGTCTTCGTCGTCTTCGTCGTCGTCTTCGTCGTCGTCGTCTTCGTCGTAGTGATAGTGGTGGTGGTGGTGGTGGTGGTGGTAGTGGTGGTGGTAGTCTTTCTTGTATTTGCCACCACCGTTTTCGTACACGTCCTTGTTTGTCACCTTGTTTATCGTCCTCGTCCTCGTCCTCGTCCTCGTCCTCGTCTTCGTCTTCTTCGTCGTTTTCGTCGTCGTCTTCGTCGTAGTCTTCGTCGTTGTCGTCGTCGTCGTCGTCGTCGTCTTCGTCGTGCGCTACCAACGGCGCCTAGAATGCGCACAATACAATCCACGACCACGTTCTACGGTAGTGGTTTTCACATTTATCGATCAGCAAAATGCTTTTAACCTCGAGCTTGCGCGTAAAGGTTCCTCGTCATTCCACCAACTACCACCACACCACACACACCACCGTCATACGATGATATCGTAAACGCCCGACGACGCGACGCTACCCGACGCTGCTCTGTCTACCTTATTTTTTTTTGCTCCCCCTTTTTTWTATATATATATATATATATATATATATATATATATACATAACGTATCATCCTAATTGATAGCATTGTCTCCCTCTGTCCTTTTTTTTAGGGTGGCCGATATCAACTTACTCGAACTTTTTCCTCCCCTTTTCTATTCCTTTTACAATTTTTTTTTGTTTTTCCTCCCCCCTTTCTATGGATTTTTCTTCTTTCCAATAGGGGAGATATAAAAAATTGATTACATTTATTTTTAATGTTATCAACCATTGCTTTTAAACAATTTCCGTAGTATCTGACGAAGTTGTATTAGAATTGTTATTTTCTTTTTTTTCTTTTTTGTTCAAAGTGAGCCATATACTTAAGTGATTTATTATTTATGAGAACTGTTAGATGAGTCAAGAGGGTGTGGGATTGATGTCATAAGAATTGTTACGATTGCCAAATAGGATATTTTTATGAAGAAACATTTTTATTGCGTGGGGGTTGGTTGGTTGGTTGGTTGGTTGGTTGGTCTATCACGAAAGCTGAAAATACGTCGCCAAACGACTACCATTATCTCATGCGGAAAAGTGATGACCAACCGAATTCCTCCCTTTTTCCCTTTTTGTTAGCTTTAAATCGATCTACGCGTTTGAATTCTTAATGTCCTTGAAAAAAGCTTGAAAGAAAAGAAGAAGAAGAAGAAGAAGATGATAAAACGTTTTGGCACGCAGGATATTTAGGATAATTGTTGATATTATTTCATTCTTCTTCGATTATTTATATTTGTCTTGTTAATATAATCAACAACCAAAAAAAATACAAACTTAATTAAATTGTTTCTTCATTTTATTGATTTAAAAATATTCGATCGGACTTTTTGTTAACGTGGAAACAAATAAATGATTGAACGATGAGATGATATTTTTATTCTTGAAAGATCAAATATTTCAATTTACAACACATATCATTTTGAATATAAGAAGAAATATAAGTAAGACGGAAATATTATTTTCCGATCCCCTTCCACAAGCTTTGATCTCGTGTTCTAATGGATGTTCGGTAAAGCAACCCTCGAGTCGTCTTCTTTTCAGATCGTTCAGTGGAATTTTATGACAAGGTCTATCCTCCAAACCGTTGGTATATTCGTACGGTGAAATAGTAACTGGTGTTACTCGTAATCTTTCATAACAAGTTGGATACATACTGTTGATAACGACGAACAACAGATTTGTATGTGGTACCTAAAATTTAAAAAAAAAAAAAAAAAAACATACATCAATTAATCCTACGTATGTTTCATTCAAATCATTTCATCCCATATAAATGAACTCATTGAAATACGAGTGCTTTTTAATAGACCACCCCATATATTACAGATAAACAAACGTAATTGATAAAACGTATGATAACAAATAATAATTGATACTAACTCGTTGTGCGTAGTACGGTTTCGAACAATGTTCAGGATTATTTCTAACAACTTTGGCAGCCACTGTTTCATTCATCATATACAACGTTCTCTTTTGATCACACGGATAGTGATAGAGATAGGGTTTTGCTGGAGGTGGTGGATCCGGTGCATCTTCGTCTGGGTGAACTTTAGCGTAGGCAAGTGGCAAGTTTACGAACTGGGTCGTAAAACACGTCACTCTCGATAGAAACCAGAGCAATAGTTTCCACAGATAAGTTAACGGATCCGTTGGAATGTTAGCTCCTCCTTCGGTACACTGAAAAATATTATTTTTCTTCACTAAAGTTCGATGCCATTTTTTTTTTTTTATCGATTCACGTATTTTCGAAGATTTTACTACTATTCTTCTTCTTCTTCTATTCTGAATTAATGAACTTACTTTAATAAAATATTTGTGTTTACGTACCACTTCTTCACACCAAGCTTGATAATCGTAGATATCAACGGCATTGAAGATACCTTGTTGAACCATAGAATACATCACTGCACCTTCCTGAGTTCCCATAAATTCGCCAGTATCATTGTAAGCTTCCGATATTATTATAAAACCATTTTGATCCAACAAATAACAATCTATCCACGTTTGATCGCAACTCATGTCCGATTCCGTATTGTTGTTCGTTGTTAATTCGACAAACTTTTGGTACAAACCTTCCATAGTCATTTGAAAACCTATCACAGCTGCTGGAGCTTTTTTTCCATCATATTGTGGATATATACCCATGGATGCTGTTACTATTGCATCTTCCTTAGCTTCCCATGGAACTGAGAATTATGAAACATTCAAAAATGAATTGTTTTTTCTCTTTTCAATTAAATTGATTATTTAAATTAACATTACCTGATATGGAAATGCTATCAGGGTCTAAATTATTTTGAAAAATGGCACCTTTGTACCATGGTTCGTTAACGGCTCTTCTATGAAGATCACCAAATTCAATACCATCATCCTCATCTGGCAATTCTTTGGTTACCAAATGATGCCACCTAGTAAGACCACTTTGTGTTGCTACGAATCTCAGAAATATTTTATAAGTTTCTGCCAATTGTCTGACAACTGGATCATCGACAACGTAATCACCGGCAAAACTATTATTAGTAGCTCTAGCATCGAATATCAACAATTGCATGAGTTCTTTATTGCAATAATAATCATCGTGGAACAAAGTTTGTCTACCGCATTCTGGGTCATCATCGAGCGAAACGTTATCAGATATGGGATAAGCCTCGTATTGGTCGGACCATCTCCATTCCGGTTTATCCAAAAGTCCTAAAAAGTGACGTAACTCGTCTTCCGGTGTGTCAAATTCGTGGCCCTCCAAATAATGAAAACGACAATAAACCCAGCCAGGATGTACGCGCCAATAATTGCCAACGAAAAAATCACCATTGTTAACTCCCCTTTCTTGATTCCTACGAATTTCATCTCCAACCTTTTGTAATTTTATTAAAAAATTATAACACAAATTGAAGATCATATTTTTTCTAATGGAAAGTAAAAAATAATACTGTTGTGACTATTTTTAAATCGACCTACTTTGATCCAAGTAGTACCATAATTGGGCAATGCAACCGCAAGACCAAAAGGTGTACCAGGTAACGGTGCATAGAAATAGTCACGTCTTTCCAATGTCACGCGACGATAATCGTCATAGTGAAGTTTAACTGGTACATCTCTCATGTTGCCACGTTTGTGATCAACCAAGGCTGCACGTAATGCCAAGATTTCTGGTCCAGGATTCCTATAGTTTATTATTTGACTAATTATCTATGTTAAGGATTAATCATTGATTATGTAATCTTACCTTGGACCACGACCATCGTCGAGAATCTCAACTTCTGTTAGATCAACGCTGTTATAATTTAACTTGAGTCTTCCTTTGTGCACTGGTCTTAAATCTGGATGCAATATGACATAACCATTGTTCGATACTATAAATGCATAACCATTTACCCCAAGTTTATAGGGTAAAGTTAATTTTCTAATATCATCGATGGGAACATCGGTACCAGCAATACCAAGCAAATTTGCTTTTCTGGTTCTATTGTCACTGTTTCCTTTGCGATCGAATACCGGTGTGCTAACGGATGTTAACAATCTATACTCTTGCCATGATGTTGTGTTCAAAGTAGCTGGATCTCTTCTCACATCTTCACTTTTATGTAACTGTGAAAGAAAATTGTATTACATTTTTCAAAATACTTTCAACTGAAATCGGTTCCATTGTCCCATCACAACATTTTATCATTGATCAAAACAACAAAACATAATAGAACACTAACTACTCTAAATGCAAATGGTGGTTGGTGATAGAGAGGTGTATGCAATTAATAAAACAGCATCTAAAAAACAAATTAATATCTATCATCTAATAAACAATAAAATCATTATGCTATATTAACGCTGCTAATCAACAACAATAACAACAACAACAATAACAATTTATAAAATGGCGGATTTCAATATCAGTAGACGATGAGAGAAAATCATTGTTGTTTTTGTAAACGTATTTAGGATGAATTTGTTGTTTTTTTTTTGTTTTTTTTTTTTCAAAACGAAATTAAAAAGCAAAAATTCTCATTGTCTGCTGAATAAAGGGGGAAACAAATCAAAGAAAAATATAATTGTGATTGGGGGTGAATAATAAAAAAAAAACAAAAGAAAAAACCCATATTGGAAGCTTCAGGGCAAGCAGAGGTTTTCTACGGGGTAGAATAATTTTTGATTTTGCTTGTTTGTTTGTTTGCTTGTTTGTTGCTTGCTTGCTTGAACCTTCTTTATGTAGATGGCATCCTCGTTTATTCGTACTCCAAGACGTTTTCCCTTGAGGTACTTCTCGAGACGGGACTTTTGCTTCTCGTGCTTCATCACTTCCCATAGCCATGTGGCAAGTGCCGGATTCTAATGGAATTTTTATGTTTAGAATCAATGAAAAATCATCAGCTTACTTTTTGTCAATTCCTTCTTCTTATTTTTTGTCCCCCTCTTTCATCAACATTTTCAACAAATATATAAATTTATGGTTATTATATAGGTTGATTTAAACAAAAAGGAAAAAATGTGATTTATTTGCGTTGCACAATTAAATTCATAATTTATATTTTGTCAAAATAATTGTTCTCTTTTTAAACATCCTCCTTCAATCCCCTAACCTCTTTCCCCTGTGATCAAAGAGATAATTTTGTACGCATAAGTAAGAATTGTAATTAATCTTGATTTATATATGATACCATTTTATTTATAAACATAGCTGAGTATACATAAAACAATAAGAATAGCCTTAGAAGAAAGTTGCACTTCCATTTTTTTCTCTTCCCCCTCCCCTCGCCTTCCCTCCCCTCCCCAGCCCTCCCCTTCCCCTAACCTCGCTGGTATGGCAACAACAGCTATGAGGTTTCGCGGTCGTTTGTTCCGCTATCGCGTAAC